TCTGAAAAAACAAACTTCAGAGTTCGGGTGAGCTAACTCTTAAGAATGACTTCAGACTTGTTCTCTTGAAATAACTTTGAAGTAAAACTTTTCAGTAAATTGAATTTAGAATAAAATGAAGTTAACCCTAGAATAAAATTGAATTTAGAAATGAAATTATATCAGTAAATTGAATTTAAATTTAGAAGTAAACACCATTTTTTTGGGAATCAATTACCACACGAATTAATTAACCCAAAAATAAAATCAATTGCATCATAAGTTAGTGAGATTGATTGAATAAGAGGTCACATGTCAATCAAATGAGTATAATTGAACTGCTAAGGTAAATTGTGTCTAGATACGTTCAAATGAGTCTAATTGAACCACTAATGTAAATTGTGTATAAATACATGTTTAGACGAGAAAACAAGAAAACTGACTCACTAGAAGATGACACGTGTCACCCAAGTTACTTATTTATTATAAGTATATATCTATACTATATTATAAAACATTTGATAAAAACTCTTAAAAATCACTTTTTATGCGTAAAATACTGTTTATTAATGCATATTACTTAAAACTCAAGATTACAAATAGATTGTGCGTAAGTACAACTTATTAAAGCTTCATATCTGAATTCGTGTAACTAACTGCAGATAAACATAATCAAATACATGATAAACATCTAATTTTAAATATAAAAAATCTAAAATATACTTAGGATAATCATTAAGTTCTAACAGAATATTTAATTATTATTTTTATAAAAATGTTATATTATTCAACCAAAAATAAATTATTTGATTACTAAACTTAAATTAAATTATAATTGAAAATTTGAATTAAAGAAATTACACAAAAATCAAAATCTTCTAAATAGTTAATTTGATACTGATGTTGATATATTTATTTTTGAAATTTTATGATATATTTAAATTTATTTTTTATTCAAAAGTAAAAACATTTATTCTTTTCTCCAAACCACATAAAAACTGTATTATAACATCTATAGAGACGAAACGAAACATTAAAATCTAAATATATCTCGCTGTATTACGAGATGGCACCCCTACTAGGCCATCATTTCATTTTTTTTCTTTTAGTCTTTTTTTGTCTTTTTATTGTTTTACTTTTTGTTTTTTCTTATTTAAATATATACACACACATTGATTTTAATTAATTTAAATTATTAAATTGATTTTAATTAATTTAAATTATTAATTAATTTTTTTAGTTTTTTCACTCTAATTTATTTATATTATATTTTAATATGAATCATTAATCAATATATAATTCTTTTATATCACTAAAAGCGTACTCGTGCAATGCAGCGAGATACATCGTGATTTTAATATTTCATTTTATTTTTTATCTCAGTCGATGTTATAATATGACCTTATGTGATATGAGAAAGCGATGATGTTTTTATTTTTGAATAAAGTATATATGTTTAAAGATATCATAAAAATTTGACAAAAATATATCGATATTAGTATCAAATGAACTATTTGAAATTCCTCATTTTTTGTGTAATTTTTTAATTAAATTTTTTTATAATTTAATTTATGTACAATAACGAAGTAATTTGTATTTGGTTTAATAATATAATTTTTTTTATAAAGATAGTAATTATTTATTTTGTTGGAACTCGATAATTATTCTAATTATATTTTAGATTTTTTATATTTTA